CTCGAGTCATTCAACAAAATATTACTAAAATTACCCCTTGGCAGTCCTTTAAAACTCAGCGTCGCTTCGAGGAGACATTAGCCTACTGCTGATTTGCTTAAACAGCATTGAGCTCGCGCGTTGCTGAACAGTTTGATATGTAAAGCATTTAATTTGTCAAAATCATGCAATAATACTTTGGAACGTTAGACTGAGACTGTGACAAATCACTGGTTGATTATCATTTTTGAGGCTCCAGGAATGGTGATAATTGGATGATTTTAATTATGCTCATGGAAACCATTAGTTATGGTAAGACAATAAAACGCCGCATCAGAATATTGTGCAACTGATTGGAATCGAAACATTTTATCTAGATTAGGCTCTACGATCTATTGCTGAAAGGGTTTTAAGGAAGATTCCTTATTAGGGTTGCCTGTTTTTCCTATTTAACTTCAGTTAATTAAATTTTAGCAGCCTGCACTACTTAGTAGATTAACGTATTGGATGAGCTTACACAGCCAATCATCATCTAGAATGAAACTATTTCCTGCTTTACAGCCTTTAAAGCCGCTTCAATCAATAACATTTTATGGCGTCATAAAAAGGAGTACTAATCGAATGGATAATTTACAGTTTGCTTTTCAAATTACAATTAAATCGAGGCTGATTCTATAGATAAAGTCGTTTGTTTTTGGAAATGGTCGGTGTGCTTCTTTAGTGCAATTAAAGTGGCAAAAAATCCAAATTATTTTTTGGTTTAATTTTCACAATTTACGATGTTAGCGGTTCTATTTGGACATTCTTCTGTGTATAGTATTGATATTAATTGCGATTAAACAGAACTGGGCTTCTATTTCCAATTTTCGTTCTTTTCAAAATAGGAATTTGCTTTCAATTTAATCAGGATAATGATGTATTTGTGCTTTCCATGTCTAATAAAAGAACTATGGAGATTTTGTGGTATTTAATGATCAGAGGAGATACTGAACAATAGCGAAATGTAAGCACGTTAAGCCAAATTAATGCTAAAATATGAACAGCGAATTTCAATAAGGATCAAATACTTTGAAAGTTTACTTGAGTTTCTAGGCTGAGATAATTATGCACACCTAATTTTGAGTAGAAATTACCGATTGATTATCGGATATACTTTTTCAAAATATCCTATTGTTCCAATGGAGCATTTGTTTCTTAACGGCTCAATTAATATCCAACCAACTTGAAATTGCAGCTGTGGAAAATACGTTTCCTGCGAGACCAATATTTCCAGGTGTTTGAGCCATTTGAAATATCGAATGGTATTTATATAACATATTGCTGTTGAACTGGAACACGGTATTGTTTTAACTTTCACATCGAGTCAAGTTAAAGGTTAAGTCCAAATTTTGGTTTTAATAAAAAGTTAGAGATTTACATGAACCTTAAACAATTTTAATAATTTCAAATACATAACTCAGCAGTAGCTTAATCATCTCATTTTGACCCGAGTGGTTATAGTTTATATGTTTATCTTCCTGAGGTGCTTCCAACTTATAAGCTGTGAGAGACATTTTCCTGATAGCCTTTCAGTTTAATATGATATTTCGCACCTCTAAAGATCAATACACTTTGAATTTTGCGAAATATATTATTATCTCCACCAAATTAGCATTTTGCTTGAGTGCTGGTCGTAAAACTAACGAGAGAATAGTTTAGCCCCAAGTAGTTTCTATTTTCCTTCCTAAGGTCGTGGGATGCGGATGTTTTTAAATAGCTTCATTAAAACTTGCATCCTTCCACCATATATCCGCTTATAAGTCCATGTTACGCATTATCTTAGAACGTACATTTTTAAACAAACAATATCTTATTTCAGTTAGCAACTAGCCACATATCGAACTGCTGTACAGGCTTTTCCATTTCTCTGTTAATAGTCGTAAATTTACCAAGCACATTTTTTAATATGTAGAAATTACACGGTTGATATATTGAATTTTAGTATCACATGACCTGGAAAACGTGCATTTCAAATGTATATTTAGATTGGAAGGTGTGTTGTATGGGGTCAGTTTGAATCGATACACTCTAATTTATGTATCAATTAGGTTTCCAGCTGTTCAACTGTAATTTACTTTGAATCGGTTCTGTAGTTATCGTTTCTTGTTCCTATACCGTTGGGGTTATTGCAAATATTGGGAAAACTTTTCAACGTAAACTTCACCTGATTCCAGAAACGCAAGAATAATTCCTTTGGGACTTTTCATTGACATCTAGGGAAGCTAATTATTTCATTCGAACAGAAACCAAACCCTTTTCCGGGTATATTTCATTTGAATACCATTCAGGTTTCACCGTCAGCAATTCTACGGTAAAACAATAGTGAACTCATTGTTCCCCAATCCAGTGTTGAAACAAAGAAATAGAACAAATTGTTATTGAATGAACATATCCGAATACAACGAAACTATTTGTTCATAGTTAGATGGCTCAATACCCTTATTTCAGTTCACGCAAACCGGAATAACAGACTTTCTCGGGTTCAAGGAACAATGCCCACTCTGGATGGCCGGGTATGGACAGAACATAGCTCGATTTTTATAACAAAACAAAATATTTTGCAGTCAATATAATTGAAAATTTTAAACCACTTAAAGCTGGGATTTTCCAAACAATGTCCACAGTTACGGAAAGAACTTAGCGCGTTGGATTCATCGCGTCCTGGTGATGGAAATTTTGTAGAATTTGGGCCATTTGAATTACGATTTCTTGGGCCAAAAGTTACGTGTTATTCAGCTTCATACACAGCTTTACTACTCTAAAAAAAAACCAAAAAATTTGTGATTTTCACTGTTCAATGCACTCAATTCAACTCAAGTTCAACAAATTGAGGAAAAGCAGATAAATATTACAAATCAGGAACGTTTGGACCATAATAATGAATTGATGTTGCAAATCACCTAACTAATTGAAAATTTGCTGTTATACTAGCAAACTCGCTCTTAACAGAAAAGTTAATTAAAGTGGCTCAGTTGCGAAATAGTGATAATTCTATCTGCAACAGTGTAGACGACGGACCCCAGAGTATAGTTCTATGCGGAATGAGCCCAGGATCTTCATTTATAATTTCTCTCCGCAAAATTACAGATTTACATGTTTCAGTTGCTTTCATTGCGCCATGAATTTCAGCAGGAATTATGTGCATTTTTGCCAAGGTGGAAAGCATCGCACTTCATATGTCATGTAGCTTTTCAAAGCGCGAACTAGTGGAGCAAGAAAAGCTATCGCTGGAAACAGACAAGGCAAACAAACAGATGTTTAATTTTTCATAAAATAAATACCAAAGTGTCAGCAAAAGATCGATTATTTACGTAGGTGTCTTAAAGCAACATTGAAGAGGAAAAAAGTTTAAATTGCCTTATTGTTTAAAGGGCGACCAATCGACAGACCAAGGTCAGCAACGTGAAATGATATGACAAGGGAATTCGAGAAAATGATAATCGAAAAGGGAAAGGAAAGCCAGTGTAGCAATCCTAAAGGGGATATGGAACTACTATTGGATATTTGTGAAACCGGAAAATAGAAATACCTCTCATGTGTTGACTGACCTTAACCAGATGGCTAAATAATAAAATCGCTCTATCAGCAAAGAAATGCGCCTGGGGTGTCGATAGAAATTTATTTAATGTTATTATCGTTTTTATTTCAACATTTATTACTTTTGCCCTATTTATTCGTTCAAGGGTGTCAAATATAGTAAAATCCCGTCTCAAATTAGAAATTTACTCACGCTCATAGTCGAAGCCCAAAAAGGTAGTCCAGAGATATATTGATTAAAACTACCGGGCACTAATGTAAAATAGCTAGCAGATTACTGAATGGCGTTAATTGGCTGTTATCAAGGGACTTTCAAAAGCACACTCTGAATTTATCTAGTGAAATTAGGCAATCGGGAGAATGAAGCATGTTAAGCTTGTAATTCGAATCCTTCATTTCAGATTGGAGAATTTTTCATTAAATTTCATTGTTTTACTTGCAGATTTTGTAACAGCTTGCACTTTGCACCGTTTGCAAGGAAATTCAAAATTTGCTTTATTCCTTTGGGTCATAAAGTTTAAAAGGATTTTCCCGGAGTATGAGCAAACATTATTGATAACATCTTCTTGGTTCATTTCTCGAAGATCAACCATTCTTTTATACTGTTCCACTTTCGAGGCGTTCAGCAGAAAGTTAAAATAATTAATAATAAAATTGGGCGGTTTTGAATATACGGCTAAAAAGTGACATGCCCTCGACAGGGTGAAGAGAAGAGTGATTCTACATCAGGTTGATGAAGAGGCTTAGAACAATGAAGCAACATTTCCCTTATTACCTCAGTTAATTAGAACAATGTGGCTGGAATTTTGCAACCTTGTTCCGCATGATGGAATTTGATAAAAGAAAGAGACGTTTTATTTGAGTCGCAAGTCTTTGCTCCTGTTTCAGTCTCTTTATGGTCTCGGGCTGTATATTAACGATAATTTATCACATTTAGGAAACCTCTCCTAAAGTTTGGGTGTCACAATATTGATTACTGGAAGCTCATTTATCACCGCGAAATTATTTTCCGCACACTAGGCTCTCGATATCCATGTTTAGTATCTTTGGGTTCGATGACCGTAAAGTCTAATTAGCTAATTTATTTTTGTACTTTAGCGGTTTATTCCGTCTCAAAATTTAAAGAATTTCTCACAATTGATCAGGATTTGTCACTATACTTAGCGCGAATGGGAGTATTTTAAAATTAGATTAGCTGCAACTTATACAGAAATAAATTGCTCTGAAAATAGCAAAAACATAAGGTGAGCTGCTCATTGTCCACCGGCTTCTTATCCCATTACGGAAAAAAAATTCACTTTTTATTACTTCTTCCAGCCGTGAAAAATACGGTTTGCTACCAAATTGAATAAAAGGGAAACTTCTTCACAAAGACACATTTGTCAGCCTGATTGTATATTACATCCCGTTTCCTCCGGGCACTATCATAAAATAAAAAAGTGCTATGCCATATTGCAGTTTAATCAGGTTCGTTAAGGAGCATTCCTTGACAACATTGCATTAAAGCGAATAGTCGGGGGCATCTATTTATCATACCATTAAGCCCCTAAGTACTAAAGCCATGCCCTTATTCGAGCACGTGCATGTATGAACGCATTAATTCACTGTTGGTGTGCCCAGATGGGGAAAGAATAAACGTTCTTCAATTTGGGTTTCTGAATATTGCTCCTGCGTGCGGCTTTAATCAAGTGTAATGTCTGTATTCTTATACTCACTTAGGGGAAGGTTGTTTCATAACGTGGAGACTCTAGGATTGGGATCATTTAAATAAAAAGCTATTAGTTTGTTCTCTTTTTCATGGGCTGATGATTCATCAGCTGATGATGCTCGAAACGGGTTCTGGGGGTGCCCGAGGTTAGCGAAGCTCGAACCTTGCACGATCTTACATGATTTATAATATACTATGCGGTTTTGTTGGAGGAGAGAGACAGTCGACTTTCGGTCAAGCCCGACTGTGGTTTCCAGTCTTTTGTTGGCTGGAACAGTGCCCATCCAGTCTGCGATAATTTTCAATACACACATTTAAAAAATTTGAAACAAACTTAAAATGAGTACTCACATATTCTCGCTTCCATATAACATGAATTGCAAAAGCAAAGAACGGTACCAGAGTGGTCAGTCCCATTAGTAATCCGAGGACGTCAGCCCAAACGGGAAATTGATAGTCTTCGTAGGATGCCGGTGAATAGTAATTCATTTGGAACACAAAAATTCCCTAAAAGCAGCGTTTTGCTTTAAAGTGTTTTTAGGCAATTTAGTATCTCACCAGAAGGGTTAGAGGAGTAACCACAACCCAACTGAGCCACCAATAACCTTTCCATAGTTTTCTCATGCTTATTGACATGTCTTCCATGTGGCCGATAAACTTCAGGCATCCATAGCACCACGATACTGCTACAACTTCCCCAAAACCTGCATAGTAGGCGAAAGTAATTCAAGTCCAACAAAATAAAGTATAACAAAATAAAAATAAAGTATGTCATTCCATGCTCACCTATTAACATAATTGCCCATGATGCAGTATTCCATTCCATCAGAGTGAACAAATATATCCCACCGGAAAAGCACATAGGAATTGCCAATAAGAAACATACCAAACAAATTGCCAAGTTCAGGTATGATTTATATTTTCGAACGGCGGACCATCTGGAATGGAAAAACTATTCAGGAAAAGTTCTTCTTGTGCGTAAGCACATGCTGAATTATAGTAGTGTAGCTTTTTGATAAAAGTGCCCCATTTATGATAGCTATTTTGAATAGGACGTAATTATTTTAATGTGCTGGGTTTAGCACGAAATCCCCAACTTGTTAGCTGCTGATTGCCATTACATGGAAAACTCGCATGGTCTAGTGAGTCCATTATGTTCGGTAATTATCCCTCAACGGGGATTTCATTCGCCTATAGTTTTAAATTGCGTAGTTAATATTTCGAATTAAAACCTTACTTGTCCATGATGCAACAGCTAATTGCTTCAACACCCGCAAACTGCGTCCCAAGTCCCAAAATGAATAACATGAAAAAGAACATTAGAGACCAGGCTGTTGAACCAGGTAACCGCAATATTGCCTCTGGATAGGCTATAAATGCCAGTCCCGGCCCATCAGTGGCTACTTCATCCACAGGCAATCCCATTTGATTAGCCAAAAATCCAAGCATGGAAAAAATGGCAAATCCCGCGTAAATGCTGGTGAACGCATTTGTGGCACTCACCACTATGGCATCAGTGAGACAATTGTTTTTAAATTTATTATAGGAAGCCAGCGTTATTAGAGAACCACAAGCTAAAAATTAAATTATTCAAATTTATTGTACAAATAAAACGCCTAATGGGAACTTTTCATAGTATATGATCCTCATGTGCGACGAGTAAATTTACTTCAGTTAAATTCCCGGTACATAGAAAGCATTCGCATCTCTTTGATAATTCACTTGCTGTTTACGTCTGCTAAATGAGTACCCAACATCAAAAGAAAACTTGTCAATGAGCGCTAGCGACTGGAAAATATATTAACTAATAGCGGAAATACAGAGGACAATGCTTTTAACGAAAATCTCAAGGATCCCCAAAATATAAATCGTTGACCGGAGAGCTCTCATTATTTTTAGTCAGTTGAACAAAAGGTACACCCCAAAGGTACGGGGAAGTTCGGCAAAAATAAAAATTAATTCGAAAGACTTTTTATCACAATTTTATGATATTCCCTTTCAAAAAAAATTAAAAAACTTGCTTTGACTTGAGCGAATCCAAGCCCGAAATGGGCACAAAGGTCGGGCGAAATGTTCGCGTAAAATTTTTATTGCGCAAAAAAATTTCCTACCTACCTATTCCAAACGAATAAAACGTTTGTGAGGCTGCTGCGGCCCAGACATCAATTTCCAGCAGTTTGTTCCAGTCGGGTCTCAAAAATAGCAATATTCCATCTACGGCTCCTTCTAATATCACTCCTTGTACTACCAAAGCAGTCAAAATAAAATAGGGAAATATGACAGTGAAGTAGACCACTTTTCCCGATGTTTTCACTCCTTTTAATACTGCGAGGTAACAAACAGCCCAGGAAAACAGCAGACAACCGAAAATTTCCCATCTCATGCCTCCAAAGTCCTCCCAAGTGGCACCATTGATACCCAAAACGTATTCACTGTAAATATAACGACTTTACTGAAAAAACCAGGAAATTTGATCAAAACAATAATTAGTTTGTTTAAAGATACTCGATCGTCAATTGCAAATATTTTGAGATAGCTTTATAAAGCTAACTTAAATCCTTGTATTTAGGGTATCAGTTATGTGGAATTTTCATATCTGACTGCATTAATCTGCAACATTAGGAGGAATGCGAACCGGTTGAGAAGTGAATAAAATTATTTTTCGCTGAAGAGCAGTATTCCCGTTTGGGTGAAGTTTATTTAAAAATCTGCCTTCAGGTATTTCCGGAACAACGGTCGCGCAACTTGACCCAATTATAATCTTGAGAGAATCCTCAAATTTGTTATGGATATTCATGCGGAAAGTGAATGAAGCGTATATAGTGAAGTATTAGCAAAGAGGAAACATAATTGCAACGTCGTTGTTAATTGCATTTTAAATTAGATGATGATTGCTGTGTTTTTATGTATGCATTTTATATATCCTCAGGAAATTTGAGTTAAAATCTTGGCGACAAATCAAGACATTTTATTCGACGCTTGGTAGTTGGAATGCGTAAGAATTGTCTGCTCTGAAGGCGGGTTTGGGACCGTATTAAAAGTCGCCAACGAATTTTTTTCCAGAACAGACAATCTTTTTTAGGGACGATACTGCATACAGTACATGCTACAATCTGATTTATTTGCATACCTGAAATATTCGGAAGTAGCCAATGTCCGGTCAATAAGTCTGTTGATTGACACCTCCTCGGTACCATTTACGCAAAATGTTCGATTCACTGCCGAGTCCATTTGATTCTGGCGGCAAAGTTCATCGCTTAACATACAGCTTCGGTTATAATATGTTTGATTGTCCAAGCATTTGGCTTCCTCTGAAGCGCTATAACAACCTTTAAATGGAGGGGTTTTTAAATTGATGTTACTGCTTCACTGAAAACGTACCCACAGAATTAAAGCCGTGGTCACAGCTGCCGTATCCCAAATTCGTGGTAAATGAAGCGAAGAAGTAGAAACTTGTCCAAGAAACAATGACCATGTAGTAGATGGTGATGAAAAACACTACCAAAAGACAACAGTATCCCAGCCCGCTAAACACTGGAGCGATGTATTTAAATACCAGATCTGGACCCACTCCTGAGTATTGGCCTATCAGAAGTTCGAGGAAGAAAATTGGCGTTCCCATGAGGATAAGCATTATGAAATACGCCAGAAGAAATGCTCCTGAAATCGAAAATTTATAATCATCCCTAGCATCAAACTATATACTTGTGGGGTAATAAAAGAGAGATTTACCTCCGCCATTGCTGTAACACAAATATGGAAATCTCCAGATATTTCCCAATCCAATGGCATAGTTCAGACAGGAAAACACGAATTCCAGTGGATTGTCCCAACTGGACCTGTTTTCGTCTGTTATCGGTGAATTGCCCTCTTTAACTACATCAGGAGCAGCTGCTTCTTCATTTTTCTAGAAAAGTTTCTGTAGCTAATTTTCGAAAAATGTTTAATGATCATTTGTAAGATATCGCGCACTACTTACTTGTCCCATTTCGAGTTCGATCCACTACTAATCCACTGCGTTTATGTTTCAGATAATTAAAGAACTTTTTAAATATTAAAGAATTAGCCAGGGATTAGCTAGATATAAACCTAATCAGATAATTTGATGTAATTGCTAACCGCTTCAGGCTCTTAGTTGACGCAACGCCATGTAAAAAAGGGCCTTTGATAATAACTAATTGCACTATTTTTTTCAGTTTTATTTGAATTGGATAGCACGTCAAACCGGTAGAGTTTTGTTAGAACTGTAGGAATACTCAGTTTGTTTTACGGCTTCGACGATATCAAGCAATTAGTTATCATCGAAACAATATATTGGAATTTATGAACCACCGTATGAGATATCTTTTGATACTAATCTGTCGTGTATGAAGAATATGGTTTTTATCTTTTTATGAGCGGATCGATCACTAGTGCCATACATTTTTGGGCCATGTTATAATATGGACAGAAAATGTCTCTTCCATAGTTGCGCCTTGACACATTAGGTAACTAGTCTACAATACCGACACAAAAGCTTTTAAATTTAAATAAGAAAGTCTCAATAAATCATGGATTGCATGCTTTTTACAAATTAGTAAGACAATTTGAAGCCGCACGCAAAACGGCAAGCCTCAAAGTTCAGAGCTCTTCTGGAACCAGAAACATACCCGTTTTTGCAGCTTTCGATGGAAAATTGTATAGGATTTAAGGCATTTTGAGCGAGTTGAGATTTTCGAACAAAACCATACAATCTACATTCCATTGAGATAAATTGTGATAACATGTTTCAGGAACGCCTTATATATTTTAGTACTTAAATGAATTTCCACCGCTGGAATTTATTATTGGATTTGGTTAAAATATCGTTTTATTTTGGCCGGGAAAACAACCCAATTGCAAATTGAATGTACACATTCGTAATGCGAATGGACATTTAGTAATGAATTACCTCTAATTAAATTAGCTTTACTAGATTTCATATAATCATTACATCGATGCCCAACGGTTAGCATTTGTTCTCAAAGCTGTATTTCAGAATTACTGATTCTGTTTTATTCAACTTGTTTAATCGCGGCACAATTTTAATTAAAATGCGATAAATTTAAATTGTATCCGATCATACACAGGTAAGAGAAAGGGTCAATTCATCGTTTTGACAAACTTTTTATTCTATTAATAGGTTATATGAAAAAGTTTTGAAGTATTCATGAACATAAATCCAGTACCCGGTTTGCATTTTCAACCCGAATAGTTCAGTTGCAGCTCCAACTTTATTTGAACTTATAATAAATGTATTTAGGTATTTTGCATATTTTCAAGAAAAGTTAGGAAGTTCATCAATTTAACAGTCTTCAAGTTTTGTCGCTGAAATGATTTCTTTGATATGACTGAGCTATTATGGCTAATTCCTGTCTATTTGCAGGCAATATTTTTCTTTTAACTAATAAACATCAAAGGTAAATCGCCAAAGTTTTCAACGTTAAGTACAACTTAAAGCAGTTTACTTATTTTCCTCAAACTTCCTCGACTAATACAAAATTAAATTAAATTTGTTAAGCTGCTGCTTTATTAAATGTACTATATTAAAATCGATGCTGGAAATTAAAAAGCCTTCCTAAAATGGACATTGTTTAGAAAACAGGTGTTTTTATTCAAGCTTGATGCTCCGTTACCTGAGGAATCTTTAATTTCCCAGAAGCATGTTTCAAACTGAAGTATTTTAATGTGACTTTTACCTGCAGTAGAGAAAGTTTGCATGCTTCATAAATTAGGGCAAAATGCAATCTGACGACAAAGGTTCTATGACCTCAAATAGCAATCAAATTTGCACGCAAACGATAATCTGGGCCTACCATAACATGAGGCAATTACCGAATGGGATTTATCATTAGAGGGTCGCAATTATTTATATAAATTTCCGCATTAAAAAATTGAACGTAGTTAAGTGTCCGGTTGGAACTATGAAATTGCACGAGTCCAATTGAAAGTCCTATTCATTTCATCAATTTTATCCAAACAAACATTTTTAATGGTTTTGATGGTTTATTTCGAACTGGCGGATAAGGTTGATATGAATGGTCTAATCAAGATGTTGCACATATATTTTCTCGCAACGTTTCGCTTGATAGTATATCCAACGGTTTTCAGGTAAATGCTGGCTTATTTTGACAACATCTTTGTTTCAAGACAAAATAATAAACCAGTATTCACCTGAAAACGGTTGGAGGTACTACCAACGGAAACGTTGGTATAAAAATTATTTGTAAAACAAATAAATCGTTCAGTAGTTTCCATGATTTATTATGTAGGTATGCATAATTCTCATGAGCACCCAAGAATGAGAATTTAAATTTGCGAGAGGTTTGTCGTAAATCTATTCGGTTCTGGTGAATTCCTGGCTCCCAACTTCCTACTGTGCTACAATATATGTATAAGTAATATTTCTCGAGTTTAATAGGCTACTTGTTTTTATAATGTATTATTTAGAATATCCAGATATATGTAGGAAACCTGCAATTGTCGCACATTATTGTTATCAATTTTATTTAACCCAAGCATCCGCACAGCCCTGTAAATTATCGAAAATGTTGCTTCCAAATCCCCACAAAACATTATTTTGTCAACACAAAAATATTATTGAACTGAACCTATTTAATAATGGATGTTTTGGCTTCGTGGAAGGCAATAATGTAATAAAACAAATCAAATGGCAATATTGATTGGAAAATTGGTTGGGTACATAATATAAATAATCGAATTTTTGTTTGGCACATATTGAGGCTGGGAGGCCTGATTTGATCGTTTAATCGCAGCATACTGCTTCTTGTTTTTCTACGGACGACTTCACAAACTTACACCTAACATATTTATGTCATCATCAATCAATACTAAAACTAGCTGTAAAAATCCTCAAACATTTATTTTGACAATCGATCTTCGTTAATTAGTGTGATAGGCGCAGGTAAATAAATTCTGGAGCAATTTTTAAGTCAATACTACCGATTATTTGAAGATGTTTTCAAAATTTCGATGTTTACTTTGGACGAAAGAAATATCGCTTTTATACGTTCGACAAATGGAATTTTCCCATTTACCACAAATGCAGATAGAGAACACGGGGATAAAATATTCATAATTCATTAATCTTTGTCTACGAATTTCCGGACACCATTTAAATAGAACCCCATTCCTATTCAAGAATTAAATGTTTGTTTTAACCTCCTGGATGTATGTTGGATATTTTGCATGCACGCTCACGAAATTGATTAACAATACTTTCGGAATATAAATATTTTTGGCCAATTTTATTTCTGGATAATTGTTAAACGTGTTGTTTGTGCAAATATCGCGTTTATCTGTAAACGTTTTCTCTTATCTACAGCAGAGGCAAAGTGAATTTGGAAAGAGGAGTTGTCATCTTCAGTGGCGAGTGCTTGAAGTCGCAGGCCAAACTGATTAAGCCTTCCAAGCCATCAAGCTCGGAATGTATTTCCACTCAACTACTCACTGTCTTCAGTTAATTTTGCATAAAATAACATATTGATATGGCTTTTGCTACAGGGCATAAAACTTTTTTTTTATTCTTATTTATTAAGGCCGCTTTAGGGGACATACAACAATGCCAATGTCCTTAAAACGAGTTTTAATGCTGGTACTATCTGAATATAAACGGTAAAATCTGAACTTTTAGCGAATCATTTGTTCAGTGGAGTTCGTTTTTATCAGAAGCTATTAGTTTAAATAAGGAAAAGTTGAGCATTTCAGGAGTAGATTACGGAAAGAGTTTGTTGATAAAACAAAGATCCATGAACGAGCAGTTTTAAAGCTTTTTGATAACATTTTGCAAGTTATTTTGAAATTAATATATGAAGCAATCATCAAAGTAAACACATAATGCCGTAACTCAATGTCAATCCGCAAGTTGAATTGTAGCCCTTTATGGTGATTAGAATCATTAGTTATCAAAGACATCAAAATGAATAGGGACTTTTGCAACCGAATATACGATGATTTATTCAAATCCTAAGCGGCTTTTCACCGATATCCACGTAACATTGTTACCGTTTTTAATTGCATCGATTTGCATTTACGGAAAACCGAAAGCCAATCGTCGAAGTTATGGGTTGGGAATTTTATTCAGTTTATTTGATATTTGATTAGGTGCCATCAAAGATGAAAATTTACGAAATAAACCGATATTAATTAGTATTCGATAAAAATGAAATAAAGCGCGGATCATATTTGCGATTTTTTAAAAGAGAAAAGCAGCAATCGACAGTGCGAGCATTATTTTCTATAGTCACATCCAGGGATATCCGTCAAACTGAGATTAAAAGAGAGCTTTTCCAAGCAGGCGTTTGCACTTTTTGTGGAAAGACAATAGAGAGACAAAGGAGCATTTGTGTCTTATATGAAAGGTATGAATCGCTAGATTGGAGGCCACTGCCATTGCTCGGAGATATCTGCTAACATGCAACCTCACGTGATTTTCGCTGTATAAAAATAATATTCAAAAAAGGACTCATTTGTATGTAAAGTTAAGGTATGCTGGCATTTATTGCCTTTTTAAAATGCGAAAAGGAAATCCACGATTTTACCTCTAGATCATATCTAGACTCCGCTCTTTGTCGATAAAATCGTCTTAATGTAAACTTTTTGTATATGCCGAATGAGGAGTATGGAGACATTTTACTAATGGCTTTTAGATCAAAGAAAATCAGATGCTTTTAGAGACCATTAATCTCGACAATTCAGTGGTGAGTATCGTTTTTCCCATCAACTCTTTTCTAGTAAGATTGATCTCACCAGCATTTTTTTGAGGATATTGTTATGCAAAGGATTTATATGGCATTTTCACGCTATGGCAATAATGCAGCCGGAAATTTCGGCATAACGAAATAAATTGCCGAAACAGTTGCCATGGAGTTGAAAACAAAAATAAATTTCAATAAATGTCTCTATCGCAGAAGTTCGCGATATTTCTTGTATATATCGACCGAAATTATTTACGCCAAAACTCGGCTCCCAAAAGCCAAAAGTCTTGGTGATAAATGCTTGTTGTCTGAAAAACTGCATGGAACAAGCAATATAACTCTTTACTTTTTACGTAGTTTGGATTCTTGCAAATTATACTCTTGAATATTTTTTCCATACATTTGGTTCACATCGAAAATAAATTACCAGTGGGAATTGAAAAGGTTGTCCAGGTTTCCAATGAAACAACCGCATGATCAAAGCCATAAATTTATTGACACCTCGCTCTGAAATATATTCTTTACGTAACATTATTTATTCATAAATACTTTACCCACCTACCTTGAACA